AAGTTAACCTTAAATTAACACCGAGAGCAATTCAGCAGTAAAAGTGGTTGACACTGTGGGATTATATTTTATTACATACCATTGTGAGGTATACTGTCTCACTGCCAAATGATGTAGTGAATCCAAAAATCATCAGTCATTTTACTTCAAGGCCATCTGAACTGACTTCACAAAATGTTGTGCTCCAGTTACTGCTGGAAGTTATTTTTCACCTTATAGTTTACCGGTTAAAAACAAAAAACAAAAAAAAAGCTCAGTGAAAGACATCAGTCATCACATTATTATGAACTGTGACTTCAGACTTCACGCACCAAAACAGCTGCAAAAAGAAATAGCTGTTGAACAAGTCTAATGCCAACGTTAATTTAACATAGACTACTGACGTCAGATGACGTTGTCTAAGAAACCAAATTCCGACGTCCTCCAAATGTCTTACGCCAACGTTGTCTTGATGTAGAATAATTTTGTCGTAACGTATGGAGAACAAACACCATCATCTGCATTGCCTAACATCATTACACATCTAAAATATTGTCTACCCAATTTTAATTCCAACCAGAATTTAACATCTGCCCAGGTGCAACGTCTTTCTGACATCATATTGACGTCTGGTGTGGAGAGCCTTAAGCAAGTGCTTTGAGCTAAATGCTAACGTCAGCATACAGACATGCTCACAATGACAATGCTAACATGCTAATGCAAGTATATTGTTTTTTGTTTGCTGCGTGGTCACCACATTAGTTGAGCATGCTAACGCTTGCATTAAACACAGAGCAAAGCTGAGGCTGTTTGTTCTTAAGGCCCTGACACACCAAGCCGACGGTCGGCCGTCGACCAAAGTAGGGCCATCGGTGAGCGTCTGTCGCCCTAGTTTTTGCGGTGTGTCCCGCACCGTCGGCAGCTTTTCGGCCAATTGAGCATGTTGAATCGGCGGCTAAGCTTTGGTGAGAGAGATCACTCTGATTGGCTGTTCAGGTTTTATTTCCTCACCCCTGTAGCGAGTGAATCTGCCTGTAGTGAAACCAGGGCTAACCGGTGCTTCCTCCTCAGGCTCCACTTCACTCAGCTGCCCGACAGACCCGCTGCTTCTTCCCACTTTAACCTGAATAACAAACCAGAGCTAGCTGGGAGCGGCTAGCAGAGCGTTAGCCACAGCATGACTGAAGGGAAGCACAGCCAGTTAGCCTCCGCTAGTCTCTGAGCTAGCCGCGGCTCTCCGTTTGGATCCAACCGGAGCACCGAGCCCTGGTTTGTTATTCAGGTTAAAGTGGGAAGAAGCAGAGGGTTTATCAGGCAGCTGAGTGAAGAGGAGCCTGAGGAAGAAACACCGGGACCGTCTGGATGTAATAGTCCGTGGAGGTGCTGCGGTGCTCGGCTGCACAGATGGGAAACCCCTCGGCTGACAGGATGTACCACTGTCTCACTCCTCTCCCACGCAGGCGCAGAACATACGTGCCACTTGGCCGTCGGATGTAGTCCGTGTAATGTGTTCAAATGCAACTGACACAGGGCGATGTGAGGCGACGTAGACGACGCAACAGTTGGCTTTCGTCGCCGCTAGTTCTTTGATGTCGGTTTGGTGTGTCCGCACCTTTAAACACACAAAAAACAAATGGTGGTGCTAGGGAAAAAGTCAGGGGATCATGACAATCACTAGGATTCACCCTCTGGGCACTATGAACATCTGTACACAATTTATGTCAATCCTTTCAAAAGCTGTTGAAATATTTCAATCTGAATTAAAGTGGTGGACTGACCAACAGGCCACCATTCACAGAAGGCCCGTTTCCACCGCAGGAACTTCGGGGTAATTTTACGGGGCAGGGGCCGTTGGTGCGTGTCTCCACCGCAGGAACCACCCCCGAAGGACAGAGTTCCGGAACTTTTACAGGGGATAAACAAGTCCCTGCCTCAGGGTAGGTACTCAGAACGGCCCAGAAAAACTCCTGGCTGGGGCTTGGGGATTACTTGGTGCTGATTGGATATACTCAAGGAGGGATGTGACGACAACAGAAAGCAACAAAATAGCCGGCATTTTTAAAACTCAGCAGACGAGGGATAGCTCGGTAATATAGCTTCTGCTGCCATCTAAAAAAAAAAACTCACTAAATGGCCCGTGAAAAAAATATTTTTTCCAGCGGATATCTTAGTTACAACATGATTGAGCTAGCAAAGCAGTTTTGCCTTGATATGTGTGGTATTTATTCAGTTATGGGAAATCACGATGTCTAGAAAGCATCAGCTAACAGCGGCAGCAAAGCTAACATCAGGACGTCATCTGTTAAAAGCCTCCCGTTGTCGGATACGACATGAAACTACTCCAGTTAGCTCAATCATGTTGTAACTAAGACATCTGATGGAAAAAATATTTTTTTTCACGGGCCATTTAGTGAGTTATTACAGACACCGCTGTCGGCTAACGGCGTCCCTACGTCGCCCGGGTCAAAATGGTCGCACAACGATTACGTCACATCCAGAGCCCGTAACTTTACAGGAACCTTCCTCATACTCGGCTCTCTCAGTGGAGACACAGCAGTTGAGAGGGCCGAACGAGAGGACGTTCCTGTAGTAGTTCCTGCCCCCCAAACAGTACCAGGAACTTCTTCAGTGGAAATGGGCCTAGAGTCAAGGTGTGGCTAAAAACTGTTCTTGTAAATCAGATTAAATGTTGCGTTTCACAAGCCCAGCAACTTTGTAGTTTGTCATCCAAATCAATGGTTTGTCAAGCTTCTGGGTGTGTGTGTGTGTGTGTGTGTGTGTGTGTGTGTGTGTGTGTGCGAGTTTGAGAGAGATACAGAGCTGCAGAGAGTTGCGATCTTAGCTTAGCTATCGATCACATTAATTAATAAGACCAGGTATTGAAACAGTGTGACTTAACCGAAACTCTTTTACATTGTGTACACAAATTCTGACTGTGTAAAGTTATGCAAACGGAACATTATTTAAACAGCTTTTACTGAGAAAACATTACCAAAGCCACACATGACTCATAATCTAAATTTAGCTCGATGGAGAAGTGCACTTTTTTTTAGTTACATTATATTCTGAGCCATTAAAATCATCTCGATAGCCACAGAGATCACCCCATCCACTGATCAATATCATTTTGAACCAGACTGCAGATATTGTTGCTGTCACTTCTTCCATATGAGATTTGATATGAATATATTTAAGAAGAATTCAAGTATTTTAAGTAAAAATGTAAGATTTAAAATGTTTAAGCACAGTACAAGTGTTTCTTTGCTTGAATGAGTCTCTCTTCCTGCATCACACACACGCCATATTTTTTAAAAGTAACAAAACATAATTTTACTTGAGTATTTTGTGGGAACTCACCTTTAAACACTGATCTCTCAAACCACACTGAAATGCCAATAGAATTAAATAAATAAATAAATAATGAGTATACATCACAGTTTCCTGTTAAATGGGACAGAATGAAACTCTCAAGACCAAACACCTCTGTGAGAATACAGCTGATATTTACGCCCAGGAAAATGCAAGTAAAGATAATTAAAGTTAAAAAATGTTATTACAAATAATTCTTTGAGGCATCTTTCCACTGAACAGTCTGCAACCATTACTGTCTGCTGGAGTATATGGTCACAAATCAGCTTAATGTTTAAAATCAAATCACTGAAAGATTAGAAATCGTCCTAATCGTGATAGAAACACGTTTTTGCTCTTGGTTGAGCAGTTAATGTGACCGTAACGCACGTGCTGACTCCTGGTCGCAACCAAAAACCTCCACGTTTGAGCGAACTTTCCCTTTAAGCAGGGAGGTCAATGCGGACACAGCTAAATAAATCTTCCAGCTGACTGAGGGAAGGGCAGGGAAATAAAATATTAACAGGCAAAAGATTATGAGTTAAAGCCTGAATGTCTATTCAATACTGTAAGTATATGACAGTACTTTGAACTGTGCTTCTGATTGCTGGTCAGCAGAAGAGAATTCACGTTTGATAAGATAGACTGTAAATGGTGAAGTTTCTCATAAACAAAGAATAGCTTGACTCAAACAAAAGAAAAACATCTGTTTACTTTCAATAGTCATTTATAGTCATTAGTGCAGATGTGAAGACTGAATAAAAATGAGTTCTGTGTTTGCATCAGTACTGAGAGATCTTGCACATTTGCATACTCCAATATGTTTAATGTATGGAGACAACCAATTTATAAAGGTGTGTTAAATCAGGTGTGTTGTCTTTCAGATGACAGCACTGCACTATGTCAACACAGCATTTCATCACGTTTAAATCTATATGCTGCAGTACTAAAAAGTGTACCTACAAAGAGCAAGAATTTCATCTTTTGTCTGGCTGCAGACTCGTTAATGCTTAACCTGTGCTAAAATAGCCACTTTCTGCCTTCAATAAATCACCCACCATACCCAGCTTTCAGTGTTTGCTCTGCCCTCTATTCAGTGTTTCAGTATTCAGTATTTGCTTATGGAACTTTAAATGACCTCCCTGAAATTACAAGCTACCAATTCCTCAAAAGGGGATACAGACACGAGGACAAGATGATGTGAGCAACCAAAAAAAGAAGAGCGATACCCTCTGAGAAATCCTACAGCACAATAAGAACATCACTTGATAAGATCACACCTTTTAACCTTCTTTCTTTGACTCATTTTATCCTGCATATAATACATTTTTGACTACAGTGCCTGTTAAAACACTTCTCCTGAATAAAACAATGAACTGTTCTGTCCTGAAGAAGCTTCAAAAGCACGTCAAAGCAATCAGTGTTAAATGATTCCAGCCTTTTGGCTCGGGATTTTAAAGCCGTGATAACTCTTTTACAGGATTATCTCAACCTCCCCTGCCATTCAAAAGGGAGGAAAAAAAAGCTCATTGTATAGTACTTACATTTCTATGGTAACGTGCCAGGCACGTGAAATGTCATCAATTTTGGGCGGGAATAGCAGACTTATAATGTAGCTACAGCCGACAAATCAATGTTCAAATTAGTCCAGGTTTGAGTGCATGAGGAAAAAAAAATCCTGAGCCAGCTCTCACACTCCCAAAATGTATATCAGATACAGGAGTTGCGTATAGAGCTCCTCACAGAGGTATTATCTATCACTGCTGCTAATTATTAATCGAAAATTAGGTTCAAGATGAAAGAGATGATCGAGGTTATAGCACTTTTCCTTGGATTCTCGAGCTGGATATTGATTTTCATATCACTACATGATCAGTATTGGAAAGAATCCACGACAGAAGGCAGCGTAATTACAACCTCCACAATCTATGAGAACCTCTGGATGTCTTGTGCAAGTGACTCAACAGGGATCTATAACTGTCGAGACTTTCCATCCCTTTTTGCTCTCCCAGGTAAGTTAAAGATGTATTTATTGTCTAACAGCTGGATCTTAAAGTTTTACATTACAAGATGTTAGAAAAGTCAATAAATCTGTATCTGCTGTTAAAACAATTCAAAATATGACTGTTACTGGTGATTACAACAATTTGCTTTGGCCTCTTTAAATAATTTTCACATTTTCACACATGCTTTCAGTTTTTTTTTCTGTTGATCCAGCGTTGTGTAATAGCTGACTATGCATTTTCTAATCTACGTCACTCTGACAGAAATACAGCTTTATATTCTTTGATTGATTGAGGCACGTAGAGTCTAAATTATTATGAACAATACACACAGAATCAGACAGCTTAAAAAGACAGAAATAATTAATATATATTCGTGTAGTGCTTGAACTGTAATCTACAACACTAACTGAGCAATCTAACAGAGTAGCTCAGTAAAGGTTGTGAAGCTTATAAGTTTATTTTTGATGAGGTTTTATGAGAGGGATTTATATCCACTTCACTTCTAAAGACATAGATTGTACTGGATAACATTATATTGGAGCTGAATACACAATATTCTGTTTTATGTTGCTAAAAGATAAGGTAAGGTAAGGTAAGGTAAGGTAAACTTATTGTGAAATGCATCTTGGGCACAGCGCTACATTTCATTGCTTCACAGGACAAGATAAAAACATCATCACAGGGACAGTTCTAACATTGTACAGGTGCTTCTCTGTATCTTTAATTGTATCCATTGTATCCAATACAATGCATATGTCAGAGATTTTACATGTGTTAACTCCAAACTGTATCTAATAACTCGAGCTGTTCTAAGATCTTGTGAAACAGCAGCTTACTTCATCCTTGTTGAGAATGTGAACTCCTATAAATATGATGTAATCCAGTAGAAGTCCACTAAAACTATGTCTTATGAAATGTCCATAAGTCCAACGTTGACCTAAAGCAGTTAAGTCAAAAGCTTCTTAGTTCTTGTGTTAAGGGTTTGAAACATTTGGAACAGAGTCAAATAAAAGTAAAATGGTTTTTGTATGTGTGGCCAGAAGGCTGCTTTGGTACTTCATCACCGTGATGATAAAGGCCTGATAACAAACGAAGCTACATTGGTCAAACCAGTGAAGAGAAGTCATTCAGGTTCAGTTGTCAGACAAGCAAACGGGTTTATCTGCGGGGCAACAAACGTGGCTATCTGCGCGTCAGTATGTGATGATGCATCCTCACCCCTCAATGCCACTACCCATCATCCCTCGGACACAGGGTTTAAGTGAGGAGTCAAAACGTGACTTGAGTCCCATCAGTAACGGTTAGATATTATTGACACAGTGTTCAAAGCAAACGTCAAAAGGTGACAAATAGCTTCAGGTCTATAGACGTTAGTGAGCAGGCTTGAAGGTTGGACTTCACCTCCCTGTTGACCCTTGAGTTGGGTCAACATTTGGCATCTTTGAAAAGGTTCAATAGAGTCGAGAATAATAGGGATAATCATAAGTGGGCTATTTGGAATGAATCATTGATTTGTGGTTTTCTGGGGCATCTTAGCGCTGGGGTTGTTGGGAACTGGTCTGGCACACAAACACTTTGGGGTCGACAAATCCACATGTTTGCGCAGCAAGATAGCTCGGAGAGTCAACGTTTGTAAAGTGTTTCTCTCTCTGGATAATTTTACATTGGTTGGATAGAGGAAACAAGGGAGTATGAATGCCATAGTGGAAGCTTTGGCCTTCTTCCTGGGGTTTCTGGCCTGGCTGATGGTTGGGATCGCCCTTCCAAATCGATACTGGAGGGTCTCTACGGTGGACGGTAACGTTATCACCACATCGACCATCTATGAAAACCTGTGGATGTCCTGCGCAACCGACTCTACGGGAGTACACAACTGTCGGGATTTTCCATCTTTGCTCGCACTTAGTGGTATGTCGCCAACGCAGCAATAGTTTTATCAGTGTTGATGACTACTTTATCTGGTCTAATTTTTAATCCACCCACTCAAGGAATCAGCATTTGGAAGATTATGACATACCAAACGAGACTGTAAGCAGTATAAAAGTTTGGGAGCTTTTCTAACAGAGCACTTACCAAAAAAACAAACTTTTATCCATCTATGTGTAAAGGGGTGAGAATGTTTCACTGAATTCAGTTTTAAACGACTGGATCAAACCCAACAGTACAGAAATTGCTGCTCTTTTTGGGCATCGTTTTCAGGATGTTAGTGTAACTTTAAAAGCCTTTAAGGAGCAATCTACTGTACGGGTTATAAGCTGTAGTAAAGGCAGGTAATATAAGATACAATAAGATGTTAGAAGATAAGCAAGCATAAACACACTCAACTCAGACAAGCAGATACTCCCAGAATAATAAAAACATTAAGGACTAATATCAATGTCAATTTATTGGAGACTGTTAATTACTTTGGCCAAAGCTACCCATTTCAGTATCAATTCAAATATGTAAATGTAAACATGTACTATGTACATTTGATAAAGTGCTGTATAGCACTTGGATGCCCAGCCCTAGTCTTGAGCTCTGAGGTAACATTTTTGTCAGACCCTTATCTCACCACGGAAAAAAACATACTTTCCAGTTCACACTTGCAATTCTAATTTGTTGAGGTGGGGGACAGATAAGGTTGTCATATGAATCAAGTTTGAATCAGTGGGTTCCCTTTGGAAAGTGGTTATTGTTTGGATAGACTAACAAAAATATTTTTTGGCTTCGTGTCGTGGCTGAAGTTGTATTTTGTACAGGCTTTGCCCTCTATGTCAACAGAGCCTCGTAGAGGGCGCCGCCTGTGCTCATAGAACTAGGGTTACGATCAGTGACCCTCTAGAGGGCTCATACTTGCATCAACAATAGTTTTGTCTTGTTGTAACAGTGAACGCCACCTCTGTGGCTAAAGCATGCATTTTTAACACAAAAATGTTATGCTTGCTTTTAGTAATGCGACTATGTGTTTGTTGCTGTGCTTTTATAAGACACTTAAGTGTATATGGAACACAGATTATTACAAGTACATATGTAACTGTGTTTTCTTATGTCTGCACACAGGGTACATTCAGGCCTCTCGGGCCCTTATGATCGCTTCCATTGTGTTTGGGACGTTCGGGCTCGTGGCCACTCTCGTTGGAATGAAGTGCTCAAAAATAGGAGGAGAAAACTACGTCCTGAAGGGGAGGATCGCTGCCATTGGAGGAGTGTTCTTTCTGTTACAGGGTAAGGGGATGTATGAGGTGTTCATGTAACAAACAAAAGCATGACAAAATGTTTGGTCAGAAGTCCCTTCAAATGAAGACAGGCCCCTGTGTTTACAGCACTTTAAAATGACTGGGGGAAATGTCCAGTCGCAGGGAGGACACACACAATCACAGTACACAAAACACCTAGAAAGGTAAATCATGTCTGGCACTCCAGTCTCTGTGTACAGAAGACAAGTTATCAGAAAATTGGTCAGCAGTTCAAAAGGTTATCACTACTCTAACAGACCTGCTGATGCACAAAGGCCTCCCACTACCAAAGGTATTTGGATTGCGAGAAGAGGTCACACTGTGTTAAATAGGAAAAGTGACGCAGTGAGCAGACGCTGCTAATCTCAGGGACCTAACAAAATACTCTCAGTATAATTTATGTTTAATCCAAATGACTTCTATATGTAAGAACAGTAATAATACTCATAAGACATAACTTGTAGAGCAGATTTAAAGGAGAAGTTAGTCTTTGCAACATGCAGATATCTCTGCTTCATATGACTGGCCTCATAAATAATCTTATAATGTCGCATTAAATGGTTTTAGGTCCATAAGGGCTGACATTCCAAACATGTCTGACATCACTTTATTATCTAAAAACTCTATTTATGACCTTGTTCATGTTATCTTTGGTTGTAGCTGCGTGTGCTGTTTGCTTTGACAAAACATCCCACTTCTCTAAAGTCAACAATATTCTGTGTTTTGCAGGGCTTTGCACCATGATTGCTATATCTTGGTATGCAGCCAACATCACCCAGGAGTTCTTTGACCAGTTTTATCCGGGGACAAAGTGAGTCAATACAATGTGCATCAGTGTGTACATGAGCTGAAAAGAAGCAGAACAATAGCTGTTGTTTACAGTGGATTCAATAATGGTACATAGAAAACTGTATGTTCAATGTGATTGTGTCACAGGTATGAGATCGGAGAGGGCTTGTACATTGGCTGGTCTTCAGCCACGCTTGCCCTTTGTGGAGGTTCGTGCCTTTTGTGTGCTTGCAAAGTCAACAAAACCGATGAAAAAATGTGAGTACGCATTGCTGAAACATTTGATATAAATTCAATGGGTAAAACACAAATGGTGCTTATTCCAACTCAACTGAAACGGGGTGGTTTTTTTTTATGCTTTAGACCGTATCCGTACCAGCCATCCTCCAGAGGACATGTGCTGTCGACTGCGGGAACGTCTCAGTCTGTCCCAAGCCATTATGGGAGAAATGCTTATGTCTGAGAGGTAACTGTGTCGATTGAAAAGCCTGCTAGGCTGAAGCCAAGTCCCCAGATTGAATCCTCAGGGAGAGGGCCGCATTTATAATGGGAAACACCACTGTAAAGCTGTATGATCACTGTATAGTTAAAGATCAGTATCCTTGATTTGGAGATTTATTGGCTTTATCCAATCTCAACCTTTTAGTGATACATATTTGCAGTATATTAATCATGTTAATGTATTGTGAAAATGACATGTATCCATACCCTCCTTGCTTGGTGTCGGCTCACCAAGAGAAACTGCAACAAAAGCTGTGACAGTGCAAATAGAAAGCACTTGTAACAGAACAGAATACAATAAACATATAACATACTCACATTTAACACATCCGGAATATGGTGGTAATCCCAGTGTAGGACCATTTCTATCCCGGCAGCCTTCAATAATCACACATTTACCACCTCTTTCCTTACTTTAATGATTGCTGCAGGATGACTTGATCATAAGGAAAAATATGATCCTCTCTCCTTAGAGGACGACCTACTTAAAAGGTTTTAAGATGAAAAAAACCAACAAACCTCCTGTTTATCACTTTTACAAGGATTAGGAATACACAACAATCAGAAACATTTAATCCTCACATTACTGTTAAACTGTTTTACAATTTTGTTCAAGTCTATGACCTTTGTGTCAGTATAGTGTTGTAATCCTTTGTTATATATGTATCCTCAAACCTGCCTCAGGTTTCCTGGTCAAGAAAGATGAGAGTCGCACCCCTTCCATAAAACCTAGGTTGTGTGGCTGTGCTACATATTCGGATTAATTTGCCTGCAAACATTTTAAAAGCTCAACAAGCTCTCCTCTCTGGGAAATTGTTAATTCCAGAAAAACTGCAACACATGATAAATGATCTGGCTGGTTTTAAAGTAAATGAAGCTCTTCAGTAGAATGATCTATAATCTATCAACATATATCTGTAACAGGAAGTTAATCTGATTCTGTGCAAACGTCATGGACATGCGTAACTTCAACCTGCAACTGTCGGCAGTCAGCTGGTGTACTTTATTATATCAATTTTAAGTGCAGTTTCACACAGTGTGATTTTGACTCCCACCTCTGAACCAGAACACTTGAGTAACAGGGTTGAAACAAATGTAAAAAATAGTCTTTGTAACTTTTGTGCATTTTAATCATTTTATAGCACCCGTGTTTATTTCAAAGGTATTGTCACACTGTTTATTTTCCTTTTGGGTGATTTTACATGTGTTCCTGTAGATTTCAGTTTGTTTTGTACACAAATAAATATCATTTTCAGTGACTGATTGCACAAAACCAAGGAGACATTATGATTTCCAACAAAGAGGGATGAAGAGAGCTGTTGAGCAGTGGCACTTTATTTTAGTAATTACAAAAAATTCCAGCTCACATGTTCAGATGAAAGGAGTTTTGGGGTTACAGAGCTTGTTTGCAGATTATAATCTCCTTTGATTCCTTTAACCAAAACAAAAAACGCTCACAGCTGGGCCTGTTGTCATGACGTGTAAGTGGAGGTACGGCCCATGTAGCTACAGCATTACCTGAATGTCCACTGAGTGACAAATCATGTAATTTTCAGTTGCCTAAGTACGCCACCTAGTGAGATCATATGGTATCACAGCTGGGATTGCCTTTATTCAAGTCTGGGACACTGGCCAAAATCTTCCCCCAGCATCACCAGATCCTAAAAAGATTAAAACCATCTCAGTCAATCTTTTGTTTTTTATTTATACAGACACAAATATATGATGACACACAGCTCGGGGCTGCAGGCCAGAATCAAACCCAGGCCGCTGCAAAAGACTCAGCCCACCAGGTGAGCTAGAGGTCGCACCAAGTTGCAGACTTTTAATCTTTTGCGGCTTAATTTGCTAAATTGTCCATGCTTTGTTTGTCAAAGCGTAAAAAGTGCCAGCCTTCGCTTTCGGTAAGGTCCTGAGCTCCTTTAGCAGCGTAGAATTTTCTAGAGGGTGTATTCCAGTCGAACACAGTGAACTCTAGTTGCGCACACTGCTTATTCTTCCCCACCTGACAAAAAATGCACTGTTACATCTTCATCACACAGGACACATGAACAATTCCTTCTAGAAAACTGAGCTTTTGTGGTCAATGAAAAACATTCTTACCTCTGCAACTTTGCACAGTAAACCCTTGCCTATGCCTCTTCCTGTTGAGGAAATCAGTCAAAATAAAATATTTTTTTCTACTTGTGGAAAAAACATTTACAGACTAGAAAAACTGTAATTTCCCATTAGACATTTATGTGATATTTTGAGGTTGGTCCAAAAGATGTTTTGTGAGGTCACAGTGACCTTTGAACACCAAAATCGGATCGATTCATCATGAGTCCAAGTGGACGTTTGTGCCAAATTTGAGGAAACTCCCTCAAGGCTTTCTTCAGATATCTAATTCCCGAGAATAGTACAGACAGACAACCCAAGAACATAATGTCACGGCTATCACTGGCATGGAGACATAAAAAGATGTAACAGACAAATGAATAAATTATGATTCACACAACTAAGCAAGTAAACACAACACATTTTACACAGTACTTTTCTTTCAGGCTTTATTGGCAACAATTCAACACATACATTACCTCTGAATTCTGGCATCACGTACAGATCCCTCAAATATATGGTCCACCCCTTCCATTTACTGTACGTGTAAAAGTAAAAGGCGTATCCAACAATTGTGAATCCTACATGGACAAAAACAAACAAGCAATCAAAAAGACAAACAGGAAGAAAAACCCACAAATATAATGGAATAAATCCTTGTGTCTTGCATTTAAAAAACAGTGAACTGATATCAAGTGTGTGGATGCTCAGTCACTGTGCAACACCACTGCCTTCAGTTTTATCTCAAAACATTAGATGAACATCTGTTGATTTATGAGGCGGCACTTGAGTAATCAGCATGATTTGTTGGACACGAGATAGAAATATCTAAACAGCAAAGGCACAGGTCTTTTGTTATCTGAGTGAGATGCTGACAAGTTCAAAGGAGAGACTACAACAGAAAAGGCCTTGATCCAAACTTTACCTTCTTTAGATTTATGCTCCTCGGGCACTTCTGCGACGAGGCATTCAAAGAAGGGATTCTGACAGAAGCCGTCCCGCTCCAGCTCTAAACTCCAACAACACAGATCATTTAAATTTGCCCAAACACAAACAGACACAGCAAATACATCAATGCTCAGAACATTAGAAGATTAATTACTTTTTGTTTACAACTGTGTTAGTATTTAATGATAACAGCTGAGATCCAAACACACGGTGACATTGCTACAAAACAGTCCATTAAGCAGGAAACAAGTTGTAGACATTAATCATTTCAGCTGTGGATCACAACCTGTCACATCTAGCAGGTTTGTTTACTCATAAATATGTTGAAAGCATTTCCTACCTCATAAAACATTTGCAAAGTGAATGTTTCAATCCTGCACGCAGTCTTCTTCTATTCCTCTTTTATTGGTGCATTGATTTCCATACGGAGCATAATACCACCACCACATGTTGATATGTGTTATCTTCAGTCAGCAGAGATGTCAATCACGACATCCATGTGCTCGTGGTGTGTGGCGTACTCGTGCTGGTAGAACACCTGATACAAACAATTAGTGGACTCGCTTGTCATAACATTGCTCTACAGCGCCACTAGTGGCCAAAAACGTAACCAGGTGCCTTTAAAAGTACTTGAAAGTATAAGTATTGTACACATCATTATCATACTTTGTAATGTCTGCATTAAGAGTAACTCATACATAGAAGAGAGCAGAAATAACTTCCATGGACCAAACACACACATACAACCACACTTATTTCCAAGGCATCAATCAGCACCAACCCACTAAGTTACCAGTTTTTGTGCATGTTGGCTCACAGGTTTGGCTTCCTGTGACACATAACATGTAACTACAACATTGTTAAGTTTAACCTGAGCATGTTCTCAGCATTGTTTCTATAGTTTGAGTGCAGAATTACCTTCATGAGATATCTTCACTTGCTCAGGCTTTTTTTACATAAACCGCCAGCTCCTGTGAAAAGAGGGATTTCATGACATTTTAGTGTGAATGCAATCTCGGCCATTTGGCAATTTACCAAATGTAACAAACGCAACGTAACGTTAAAGTCAGGTGTATTAAATTCAGCATGGTGAAGCAAAGCACTATTTTTAGGTTAGCTTGGTTACAGTCCTGTACTGAGCCTCACCAGTATCAGTCTCGATATGTCTCTACAGTCTTCTTTAGTTGCAGCCCGGATTTTAAAGTTCATGTTTGTTTAATCTATCACTGTCCGCATTTACCCTGTCAAACTGTCTTCTTCCTCAGAGAAGTAAAAAGACTACAAATCAGACCAGCGGAAACCGCCGGAATCACTTCCGGTGTTGATTTCGTCTTCAAAATTAAAGACAAATAAAACGTTCACATTTAAAAAAAAAAAAAAAAAAAATGGCCTATTCTAAAATCTAGGTTTAAATTGTAAAAACCGGTAGGCCTACAGTATGCATCAATAACTATCTCTATCACTCAAAATGTGATTGGTCTCATTAAAGGAACATAATTCCTGTAATACTGGAGACTATATGTCTCTAATTATGATGAACAGGATTGTGGTGCAGCTGCAAAAGTTTAAGGCTGTGTCTAGTCTGGAGGGTTTTAATAGACTTTCAGTGGCTGCTTTTAAATATACATGTGTTAAAGTAGCTGACATAAAGCTACCAAACACCGTTGGGCCAAAGATTCAAAGAGATGTCTCCAATTCAAAATCCGCTGTATTCAAACACATTATTACTGGATCAGATTGTAAGCTTACAATCACGTCTCTGTCTTTGATATAAATACATCTGTTTTAAATCTGCAACTATATCTTTCATCTTCATTTACTAGCCCATGTGTTTTGTCCCTGTCAGATTAAAGCTGTACAAATATATTTAAAATGTAAAGTAGGCTATGACCTAATGATGAATTAATGGATATCACTGAATAACACTTTATTATATTAATTTATTGACACTTTCCCCGCTCAGATTCAGAGTCTTTGTTTTTTTAGATAAATGTTTGCAGTCCGCATATTAATGTATTAATATCTCTTGATATCACCGGATTGAAAATGGAGGTTGTGCCTTTTATTTACCTGTTGTCATGGTGAATTGCAATACTGGCACTCCATTGATGATCACTTTTTTCATTCCCCGTGCATGACCTTAACTCAGAAAGAACATACACAGAGTTGAGTGAACTGACTCAGATCAGCTGTGTTGAAACTGAAAACTCAGAGAGTTTTCCATCTCAGGGGAAGTTATCTCAGAGCTCAGGGTTCGACTCAAGAGTTTGTTAACTCTGCTTTCTGAAACAGGCCCCTGGTCTGATACAATCATACAAACTAAGAAACAGCAACTGTTGCTTTAATGCATGTATTTAACCACAGCATTCCCTGACTCTACACTAAGAGAGTTGACAAATTATATCATTTTCAGTTGGTTAAGTTCACCGCCCACTGGAATGATATGGTGTCACAGCTGAGATTAGATTTACTTGTGTCAAGTCACATTGTGCTGCTGGGACACTAGCCAGCATCACCAGATCCTTAAAAGATTTAAATCATCTCAACCAATGTATTTTATATACATTCACAAATATATGATATGCAACATGCAAACACTTAGGAAATCATGTCTGCAAACTAAATTTACACTCTGCACTTGAAAGGCAACAAGACATAACCATTTGCAACCTTGTCTGGAAAATGAAGGAAGGTCAAAGGTAGAGTATTTAAAATCGTATTTATAAATCACAGGTAGGTCCTTGTAAATATGAAAAGTTTAAATCAGGACATGATTTTTATAAAACAGGAGAAAGACAAGGTAGTGAGGAACCAGGTACAGTCCAGCTTATTTTGTCTCATACAGGGTGAATGTTTACCAGCCACAGTCGTTCACAGAAAGTTACACAGTTAATTTGCAGACTTTTAATCTTTTGGAGCTTCATTTGCTAAATTGTCCATGCTTTGTTTGTCAAAACGTATAAAGTGCCAGCCTTCGCTGTCGGTTAGGTCCTGAGCTCCTTTAGCAGCGTAGAAGTCCCGAGAGGGAGTATTCCAGTCCAACACAGACAACTGCAGCCGCACACACTGCTTATTCTTCCCCACCTGAGAACACAATACAGTCATGCACTGTTACCTCTTCATCACACATCAACAATTCTTTGTAGAAAACTACGCTTTAACAGTCTAGGAAAACATTCTTACCTCAGCGACTTTGCACAGTAAACCCTTGCCTATGCCTCTTCCTGTTGAGGAAATGAATAAAAATAAAAACAGGAAAACATTTACAAACTAGAACAACTCTCATCACTTCATCATTTTATCCTAAAAGACGTTTGTGTAAAATCTTGTCATAATTAGCGTATGAATTCTTGAGTTATCCTAAAAGATGTTTTGTGAGGTCACAGTGACCTTTGACCACCAAAATCGGATCGATTCATCATGAGTCCAAGTGGACATTTGTGCCAAATTTGAGGAAACTCCCTTAAGGCTTTCTTCTTTGTTGGCATGGAGACATAAAAAGATGTAACAGACACATGAATAAATTATGATTCACACAACTAATTAAGTAAACACAACAAATTTTACACAGTACTTTTCTTTCAGGCTTTATTGGCAACAATTCAACACATACATTACCTCTGAATTCTGGCATCACGTACAGATCCTCCAAATATATGGTCCGCCCCTTCCATGTACTGTACGTGTAAAAGTAAAAGGCGTATCCAACAATTGTGAATCCTACATGGACAAAAACAAACAAGCAATCAAAAAGACAAACAGGAAGAACACCAGAACATTTTAAATCCCTACAAATAAAGTGGAATAAATCCTTGTGTCTTGCATTTAAAAAACAGTGAACTGATATCAAGTGTGTGGATGCTCAGTCACTGTGCAACACCACTGCCTTCAGTTTTATCTCTGAACAAAACATTAGATGAACATCTGTTGATTTATGAGGCGGCACTTGAGTAATCAGCATGATTTGTTGGACACTAGATAGAAATATCTAAACAGCAAAGGCACAGGTCTTTTGTTATCTGAGTGAGATGCTGACAAGTTCAAAGGAGAGACTACAGCAGAAAAGGCCTTGATCCAAACTTTACCTTCTTTAGATTTATGCTCCTCGGGCACTTCTGCGACGAGGCATTCAAAGAAGGGATTCTGACAGAAGCCGTCCCGCTCCAGCTCTAAACTCCAACAACACAGATCATTTGCCCAGATAGAAACATTTCATCTTTACATTTAAAAGTCATTTTAGCATTCCTCAGCACAGAAGTGAGAAGAAGCAAAGCAGTCAAGCAGTCAGTTAAACTTCAGCATTATCAATATGTCCATTTAGGAAGCACAAGTGATTGTGAATCAGTTTCACCTCCTTTGGTGCAAATAAAAAAGTGACAACAGGTGCAACAGAGAGGCAAGAAAGACAACCCCCAAAAAGGGAATGGTTTCACATGTGGTGTCCACAGACAGTTGCTCTCTCCTTATCCTTCCTGACTGATTCTTCTCTAGGTTTGTGTTCTGCTAGTGTCCTTGTCACTATGGTAGCATGAGGCGGTACCTGCAGCCCAATCGGGTTGCACAGGTAGTCCAGCTCCTCCAGGATGGCACATCCACACATGCTGTCACAAGAAGTTTGGCTGTGTCTCCCAGCACAGTCTCAAGAGCATGGAGGAGATACCAGAAGACCGGGTGTTACACGAGGAGAGCTGGACAGGGCCGTAGAAGGGCATCAACCCAGCAGCAGGACCAGTATCTGCTCCTTTGTGTGAGGAGGAACAGGAGGAGCACTGCCAGAGCCCTACAAAATGACCTCCAGCAGGCTACTGGTGTGCATGTTTCTGACCACACTGTCAGAAACAGACTCCATGAGGGTGGCATGAGGGCCTGATGTCCTGTGGTGGAGCCCGTGCTCACAGCCCAGCACTGTGCAACTTGATTGGCCAGAGAACACTGGAATTGGCAGATTTGCCATTGGCGCCCCATTCTCTTCACAGATGAGAGCAGGTTGGCACTGAGCACATGTGTAAGGCGTGAAAGAGTCTGGAGACGCCATGGTGAATGCTATGCTGCCTGTAATATCATCAGCATGACGAGTTTGGCGGTGAGTCGGTGATGGTCTGGGGAGGCAGATCCTTCAAGGGTCACACAGACCTCCATGTAATCCATGTAAACTTCCATGGATTGTCAGACCTTATGTTGGTACAGTGGACCCTGGGTTCCTCCTGGTGCAGGACAATGCCCGGCCTCATGTGGCCAGAGTGTGTAGGCAGTTCCTGGATGACGAAGACATTGATGCCATTGACTGCCCCCCTCATTCCCCTGACGTAAATCCAATCAAGCACCTAGTGCACCAAGTGCTGCTACAGACTGTCCCGGATCTCCCTGGTGCCTTAATCCAGGTCTGGGAGGAGATCCCCCTGGACACCACTCTCCAACTCATCAGGAGCAAGCCCAGAAATTGTTGGGAGTGCATCCAGGCACCTAGGGGCCATACACACTACTGAGTGGCTGCGATATGATTCACACAAGTTGGATCAGCCTGTGATTTAAATTTTTTACATTGATTTTCAGTGTGATTTTGAATCCAGCCCTCAGTGGGTTGATGAATTTAGTTTCCATAGACCATTTGTTCTCAACAAGTTTTCCAATGCACACATCAGCAAAGATTTTCAACTTGAAGAACTTGTTCACCGAGATCTGATGTGTGATTTAAGTCTTCCTTAATTTTTTTGTTCACTGCTGCTTTCTAAATGGACAACTTTGAACTCATGATACAGACATAAGGGAGACAGCCTGCATTAAGAGTAACTTGTACAGAAATTCATAATGCACGACAAGTTACAAAGAAAAGAGCAGAAATAACTGCTGTGGACTGTGCACACACATACAACCACATTTTTCCCAAGAGATCTGGTCCTATCTAATATTCAAACTGACCGCAGTCTCATTATTGTTAATGATTAGTGCACAGCATTTATCATTTATTTGTGAGTGGTTGCAAAGTCTTGCACTGCTCACTACATAATAACTAACACACATTGCACATTGCACATGCAGTCAGAACGTTAGGTTAAAGTGTGGACAGAGATGCAAATCCAGAACCACTTCTAGTGTTATGGTGGCACTGAAGGTATTTTAATGGCATTCCTGTGACACATACAATGTAACAACGACACTGATACGATTAACCTGGGTTTGCTCTCAGCATTGTTTCTATAGTTAAAGTGCAGAATTACCTTCATGAGATATCTTCACTTGGTCAGGCATTTTTTCATACACCGCCAGCTCCTGTGAAGAGGGGAGCATAAAGTCAGGTGTGAAATAGAGCACAATTTGTAGCTTGGTTACAACCCTGTACTGTAGCCTCACCATTATCAGTCTCGATATGTCTTTGCAGTCTTCTTTAGTTGCAGCCCGGACTTTAAAATTCATGTTTGTCAAGTGTCTCAGTCCACACTTCACCCTGTACTACTGTCTTCTTCTTCAGTTAAATGAAATGACTACAAATCACAACAGCGGAAAACACATCGTACACAGGAAGTCATTCCGAGTTCTGGTGTTGTAATTTTGCCTTCAAAATAAAAGACAAATCACTTAAATTGTGTACATGTTAAAAAAAGCGACATGGCTCTACTTCACCCTGTTATTTTTTTTGATAATTGTTTATTCACATCAATATCAGGGAAGGACTCCTGTCATGAAAATACAAACTACAACGAATAAATCTACAAAAGACGCTTTTAAACTTGGTCTACCATCACGTTCATGTTTCGAACCGCAATGCTCAGTGGGAGTTGTAGTTGACTGAAGTGTTAAACGTGGTCTTACACTTTTGCATTGCTTTCAAGTGATGCTATTTATATGTGCATTAGGGTGTGTCTGCGAGGCTTGTCTGGGGTGAATAAAACTTAAGAGTGTAATTTAAATGTGTATGTGTAAATACATGTTTTCAGGTCACTTTTGCAAAGGGTTCTTGATCTGAATGAGACATCCTGATTAAATAAATAAAGAAAGAAAATAAGTTTTGGGACTCTGGGCTCCCAAGTGACACAAGTACTTGTGAAATGTAATCACTTACACTTACTCAAATACTTGTACACCTTGTTCTTTACTTAAGTCTTTCCATTTTAACTTACTTTATACTCCACTACATCAGTCTAAAAGCCATTGCTACTGATCACTCTGTTCACAGGTCCACACATATGCTTGTACGAATGAAGGACTGCAACTAACAATTATTTTCATTGTCATTTGATCTGTAGATTATTTTCTGGATTAATCAGTTGTTAGGTTTATAAAATGTCAGAAAATTGTGAAAAACATTGATCAGTGTTTCCCGAAGATATTCAGTTTACAGAGAAACCAAAAGTTACTCATATTTAAGAAGCTGGAGTCAAAGAATATTGACCTTTTCTATAAGAAAAAAAAAGACTGCAACTGATTAATCGATTCTCAATTTAGCTGGAAATTAATAGACAGCAAATTATTAATGATCAAAATAATGTTTTAAATGCAGGACTTCTACCTGAATTGAAGTATTTTTACAATCAAGTATTTGCTGCTTTAACTCAAGTAAAAGTCGTGTGTGCTCCTTCCACCAATTATAGGAAGTTAGTATGAGGGTTTTTTCTGTTTCCCTTTTTGCAGGCTTGAACACACCTGCTGGTCTTGTGATCAGTGCTGACAGTGACACTCAACAAACAGCGATCTGTGCTGATGGCAAACTGTACAGAGTAAATAAAAATGTATAAAAAACACATCCAGATAAAGGATTTCATACAAAATCTGATTTATTTTAGAGTAAAAAAAGAACATGAAATCAATTAGAATATAAGCTGAAACATTACAGATCTCACAGCTGGACCTCAGTTTTCATTGGGCATTAACATATTTACAATGTCTAGTCACATTTGCTCTTCATCAGTCAAGAGTTCAGATATTCCCCTTCATACCACTCCAAGGTTTACCCCTTTAAGTTCAGCCTAAACAGCCCTCCTTGTGTTCAGCTGCACCAACATCTCCACTACCCATACAAGTCTCAGTGTGGCGACTGTGTGCTTGCTCCTGGAGACTCGGACCGGTCTAGCTTCATCCCCGCTTCTAGCTGGGTTGAGGAAATTGAGGTTGGTAGCACAGAGCTCTTAGTCTCCAAAGAGGAAGAGGCCGACGAGGGCAGAGATACAACTATGTATTTCTGCAGAGGTCGTGAACCTGTCAGTCCGGGACCACTGCCAGACTCCAGTTTTACCAAAGGCTGCAAGGTCGAAGTGGCACTGGGAACAGTGCTGGTGACTGGTGAGGCCGACTGAGAAGAGCTGAGGGTGATTACCTACAGGGGAGACAGAAAGATGGATGTAAACTCATAAACAGAGGAGTTGTGGGACTTGTTTAGTTTCACACCAATAACATTATTAACTAATAAAAATATAAATGTTTCACATCAGAATTCAATCATGTTTATATTCGTTTTTTGTTTCTTTTCATATTGTCATACATTAGATATATATAATTCAATTCAAAAAAGTCATCACTTATTATGCTTACATTGTTTTTGCAGCTGCAACTAAAATGTATATTTTATAAAATAATATATTATTGATCATATCATCTTATCAATATAGCCATGAGAACATTCCCTTTGAAGCTTGGTGGCAGAGAAACACTGTGATGAGTGTGCGACTGAATCAAAATCAAAGTACCTGCTGAGTTGAGGCAGCTCCCGCACTGGTTGCCATGACGATGTACTTTGTTGCCGGGGGAGATGGCTGTGATGGGGTCCCTGGTCGAGGGGACATCAGGGTGAGGGAGCTTGGAACCTTAATAATGCTGGGAGTGCGCGGTCCTGTCGATCCACTTAACCCGCTCTGCGAGACGGTGAGGGTCGGACGAGGCTGCGAGAAAAGGATCCATCGTTAATTAAACAGCTTTGTGATAGTTTGCTTACACGTCATTCTGCATTAATTCTGGACTCTGGAGTGATACAAACTATGTCCGTGTTTTCATGGCATCTTTTTTACTCCAAAAACGTCCTTCCGGCTTTTTCACTTTTATTTATACTTCACTGAAAACATTACATGAATGTAAGTATGAAACGTACCTGTGTGATTGTTAATGTGGTTCTGTTGACCTGCTGAGCTTGCAGTGCTGCTTGAGTCCTGGCCTTCATTACATGGGAGCAGAGCATGGGTCCGAGGTAACCGTAGTCTATCCGATACTGCTCCACATTGTCGGGCTGCAGTCGGATCTTGGCGATAACACTTGCACAGTGTTTCTTTGAAAACAAATCACATTGTGTGAATATGAAACATACGTACTGTGCTGATACAATAACTGATGTGAAGTGACTATTATATACAAAACGAATCAATCTGTCAGAAGTCGTCTACTTTTAAATGTAAAATAATCACAAACTTATTACCAGTAAGAGGCTTTGAACGTGGTCGGCTCCTATCTTATCAATATTAGACACCACTGGTCCTTCCATCACTGCTTTGATGCGAGCACCCTCTACAGTAAGCCGAGGAAGGATCAACGTCTTTATCACCTGCAGGGGACAAAATCAGGAGGTTGGTGCCTTTCAAAAAGAGTGGAAATGATAAAGACAGGAGGAAAACAGAATCGCACTCACATCAGGTCCGAGTTCAGCAAGTCCAGCAATGCAGCCGTAACGTGTCGTCCACTGGGTTTTGTCATCCAACCAACTCTGAGGAAACATGTCAGTCTGGTTTAGTTTGTGAAGTGTTTTAACAGTGGTGAAAACGTGTAATTTAAGGAGCTTAGCGTATATCTATAACAAGGGATCACTCCAAACATACTGTATCTGTGGCTAGATTTTTTTAAACTGTCTTTCAGGGTTCCCACAAACGTTTTTTCCAATGAAATTTCAAAACTTTACCATAACTTTTCCATAATATTTTACCCTGTTTCCATGACTCTATTTAAGTAGTTTAAAAAAGGCAGACTTAAACAGTGATACAGCCACATATTATTAACACCCACCTTGGTAAAAGTCTTGGTAATACGGGACTGGATGTTGTTGGTCGTAGTACTGAAGGTCTTACAACTTTGGGCCATGAGGCGAGCGGCAAAGTCTCGTAAAGCCCAGTGGTTGTCGACATCTGGCCGCAAACACAGCTGCTTACTCACAATGCATGTCACCACAGCTGGAATGAGCTCATGCAGCTGCAAATACAGATAGAAATAACATAACATTAGAATTAAAGTATTTGTTAAGATTATACCCTTCTAGAAATAACATAATTTGTGTTCTTCACTCACGTATTTCTCCAAATACAGGGTGGGGTTGTCCATTAGAGCTTTGACCATCCGCATTAGATAAATCAGGAGAGCCAAGTTGTTTTGCACCACGTTCACACGAACCTTAAAGGAAAGCATACGGTCAGTACTTTCAGCATAGTTAATGCTTGGGGATTTTACAAGAGGTGAGTAACATTTTAGAACATCAAGAGAAGCTGAAAAAGATGCTTACTCCTTCAGAAATAAATGTGCTGAATCTTGGAAGCATCTGATACAGTCCAGGATCTGTAGCAATACTCTGTAGAGCTTCCTGAATGAGACAAAAGGAAACAGTTATCAAACAAATGTGACATGACAACCCATACAAGTAATTTCTTGTTAGAAAAAACATCAACAAGGAAATGCAATGACATGTATAAAATACACCTCTATATACAGGGGCAGACAAGCAGAACTTACAGCTCTCTTAGCTTCACAGGAGCCAACACATGCTTCTGTGATTTCCTTGTAGTAGAGCTGCTGTTCCACAGACAGCTCATGAGTGCTACGTGGCTTCAACTTTATTGGACCCTTTTCCTTTCCTGAAAGAGACAGATATAAACATGGGATGAAGGAGAAATACATAACCATAAAGGATCAGAGAAGGAAGAGGGAAGCATGGTAGTGGAAGAAGACAATAGGAAAGGTTTAATTTTAAAGGCCCCATATTGTTTTCTTTTATTTCTTATCATACAGCAAGTATAGATGCTATAAAAATACAGATAAAGTATCAAAACACTCAATCCACAGAGAAATTCACACGGTCCATATTGAGGAACTGTGCCTTTAAATGAGCTGTGAGGACTTGAGTGAAGTTGTGACGTCAGAACTATAATACATAAAGCTAGAAAGTGCCGCTACAGTGCCGTTACAGTCATTCCCCCAGCTGCAATAATGATACATAAATGCCTAGAGGGCATATACGGAAGACCGGGAAACACTGACCAATCAGAGCAGACTGGGCTCTTTTAGGAGGGGGCCTTAAAGAGACAGGCGCTAAAACGAAGCTTTGCAGACAGAGTGAATACAAGTATATTTAGGCAGACAGTGTGAGAAAAATAAAATACTTTTTGAACATTACAACATGTCACCATGTCAACGATGTCACTATGTCAACCTGAAAATCAGCACAATAGGGGAACTTTATTATAACACAAGATACTGACCTTTGCCATCAGCAGCCGTTGCCCCCTGACCCTTGCCTTGAATCGCACCTTCCTCCTCCTGACCAGGT